TAAATTTCATTGGTTTACCCAGCATTATTTGTTACTTACGTACGTTGAGGCTGTTCAGTCTTCAGTTGAAGGTGGTGATCAACTGTTTGTCCAGGATGTCCCATCATAAACATTTGGCTTCCAGTCGAGAGCTGAGGCTCATTCCGGGGCGACCCCCAACAGAATTGCCTTTGCGAAGGAGAACTTGTTGACCCACCATATTAATCATTGAACATATTAATCATTTAACAGGAAAACCCAATGGATGACTCCAGCGATTGAGAAGCAAGAAAAGTTATAAGAAACGATGGTCAGTGGGGATAAAATTTCTCATAAAGGATTGAAACAGGATATTCAAAGATAATTTTATTGGGTACCTACCACCAGTCGTTGTTGATGCACCAGTCGTTTTCGATATACCGGTGGTTGCGGTCTCCCCTGTTGGTTTTGTTTCTGTTTCAGGTGGTGATGTTGTAGTGAGAGATGACACTGAATATTCCGCCTTAAATCCACGATCAACTGTTTGTCCAGGATGAAACATCACAAACAGTTGGTTCCCAGTCGAGAATTGAGGCTTGTTCCATGACGACCCCCGACAAAATCGCCCCAGCGGAGAAGAACTTGTTGACCCACCATCATAAAGCTCCACATAAGAACAAGAATCCGAACAAGGTTTGGCTGAACACTCACTTAAGGCGAAGTCAGTAAACACAAACATTACAGTCTTGCCAGCTGGGGCGGTAATTTTCCAGGTACAATTCCTGGACGCAGTGTAGTTACTCTTTGGGTAGTTTGTGCTGCTTATTTTCCCACTACCTGAGAGAGGAATTGCTACCTTTGGACAAACTGTAAAAATTAAAAATGCCCATGTGAGTGTAAGAGAATTATGATGGACTGGTGTGGAAAAGATTGGTTGATTCTTCCAGCGTTACTTCTTTGGCAGAGTGGAACATAACTCCCCTATCACTTCGTGATGTATTGATGTGCATGTATCTACTGAGGTATTCAGATGCTGGACCGCTAAGTACAGTAAATACAATGACATCTTTATCATGAACTAATGGTGGATGCATAGCCTAGGCCTTATTTGGAGTGCGAGAAACAAAATAAAAATCAAGTAAAAGTGATAATTACTGGTTTTTGGTGATGGGTCATCTAAAGTCTCAGAGTATTGTACTTCAAAACCAGTGCCACGATCATTGGAAAAGCCAGATTCAAACTCCACAAACACTTGGTTGCCACCTGACACTGTCACTTCCATAGCAGAACCAGGACAGAAACGCCTCAATTTAGAAGAGTTCTTAGAGTCACCATCATAGATGTCCAGATGTGTACATTGAGTCTTCTCTTCACTGGGGCTGCATAGAGTAGAACATTGACCAAAACTGAGAGAAGTAAAATTCAACTTAACACGTTTCCCAGCAGTTACAGTGATTTTCCAGGTACAGGCCTGATTATTAGCCGCATCTAGACCAGGAGGGACATCTTGGGGGTAACCAGGACTGCTGAACTTTCCATTTGAAGCCGTGAACGGGACTGCAGCTTTGGGACAATCTGNAGTCACCTGGTGACAGTGAAAACCTGTGGAAAGTTATTTTCAACACAAATCCTGCTGGTACTGTGATATTCCAGAAACAAGTTGAGTCTGCAGCTGTCTCGCTGGGAAAATTAAAGCTTGTAAAAAGCCCAGAACTTCCATTTATGACTTGTGGAGAGGCACATGCTGCAAAAAAAAAAAAAGAGTCAAACTTCAATAGCTGCAATAGCAAGATCTTACATTCATGAGGATATTTACATTGTATCATTTCCTTTGGTGTTGATAAAATAACAGTCAAACCAAGTGAACTGTACCCTTCAAGAATTTTAATCAATCTTAAGGTTTCTTACTACAGACGAAAGAATTCCAGTGATATAAAAATTGAAAATGTGTTTCAAACTTATAACCCTTGTGTTGCCATATCCCTAATAATAAGAAGAATTCCTGTCCACTTAAACACAGACCAAATTTTTTGATTAAAATGTAGAAAGACTATAAGTACTTACGATCACTTGTCACTAGAGTCAGGGAGGCAAATGTAACAAATACAAAGAACGGACATGTGAACACGTTAATTACTTAAGGATCAGACACAGTTCATCCCAAATGCTAACAAGTTCGAGGTCATCTGAGCAAAAAAGGAGAGCAGAGAAAGTTCCCTGAGCTGCAACATTTCTTTTTGTAACTATATGGAATTCTTAGCTCATTTTTTACTAGAGCATTCAACAAAGTATCGCGTATCTTCTCAGAGCTGCCTTAACGCCAAACTAGTCAGAGGCAACCCAATTATATTTTTATGTGCGAGTGTGTGATATCAATTCTCGCAAGATTTTAAACTCCGCTGTTGTTCCTGTAGGGAGAGTGAAAAATAGTTTGTACGTGCTGCGTGAGTATAACTGACTATATTTCCAATAAGAGTTCCCAAAGTTGATTTTTCCAGCGTTACTTCTTTCGCAGAGTGGAACATAACTCCCCTATCACTTCGTGATGTATTGATGTGCATGTATCTATTGAGGTATTCAGATGCTGGACCGCTAAGCACAGTAAATACAATGACACCTTTATCATGAACTAATGGTGGATGCATAGCCTAGGCCTTGTTTGGAGTGCGAGAAACAAAATAAAAATCAAGTAAAAGTGATAATTACTGGTTGCTGGTGTAGCAATTGTTGGAGATGGGTCATCTAAAGTCTCAGAGTATTGTACTTCAAAACCAGTGCCACGATTA